CAGGGAATGGTGACGTAATCGCAGAAGTGTGAAGGTGATGAATGAATGCCATTATTACAACCACTACCACCAGTGCATAGAATTTTTACTACCACACACACACACACACACACACACACACACACACACACACACACACACGAAAAGGCAAGGACTCAGATTGATGTAAACTAAACAAGACACAAAAAAAGAGGGGGGGGGGGGGGAGAGAGGGGAGAGAGAGAGAGACTCCACAATACATATAATAAGTAGTTTTTTACGACAAGATGGAGCGAGAATAATGAAAGAGAAAGAATAAGATTGTAGAAAGGAGGAGGAAGACAGGTAAGAGGAGGAGGAGGAGGAGAGGAGGAGGAAGAAGTGTAAGAGGAGAAGGAGGAAGAGAGAGGAGGAAGAGGAGGAGGAGGAGGAGGGAGGAGAGGAGGAGGAGGGAGAGGAGGAGAAGTGTAAGAGGAGGAGAGGAGAAGAAGAAGTAAGAGGAGGAAGTGTAAGATGAGGAAGTGTAAGATGAGGAAGGGAGGAGGAGGAGGAGGAGGAGGAGGAGGAGGAGAGAGGAGGAGGAGGAGGAGAGGAGGAAGAGGAGGAGGAGAGGAAGGAGGAGAGAAGAGAGGAAGGAGGAGAGGAGGAGGAGGAGGAGGAGGAGGAGGAATGTAAGAGGAGGAGAGGAGGAAGAAGAAGTAAAGAGGAGGAAGGTAAGATGAGGAGGGAGGAAGGAGAGGAGGAGGGGAGGAGGAGGAGGAGGAGGAGGAGGAGGATGAGGAGAAGAAGAAGTGTAAGAGGAGGAAGTGTAAGAGAGGAGGTAGAGAGAGGAGGAGGAGGAGGAGGAGGAGGAGGAGGAGGAGGAGGATGAAGAAGAAGGAGAGGAAGATGAGGAAGTGTAAGATGAGGAGGAGGAGGAGGAGGAGGAGGAGAGGAGAGGAGGAGGAGGAGGAGAGGAGGAAGAGGAGGAGGAGGAGGAGGAGAAGAGGAGGAAGGAGGAGGAGAGGAGGAGGAGGAGAGGAGGAGGTGAAGAGGAGGAGGAGGAAGAGGAGGAGGAGGAAGAGGAGGGAGGAGGAGGAGGAGAGGAGGAGGAGGAGGAGAGGAGGGGAGGAGGAGGAAGTGTAAGAGGAGGAGGGAGATGAAGAAGGAAGAGAGGAAGTGTAAGATGAGGAAGTGTAAGAAGAGTAAGGGAGAGGAGGAGGGAGGAGGAGAGGAGAGGAGGAGGGAGGAGGAGGAGGAGGAGGAGAGAGGAAGTGTAAGAGGAGGAAGAGGAGGGAAGAGGAGGAGGAGGAGGAGGAGGGAGGAGGAGGAGGAAGTGGGGAGGAGGAGGAGGATGAAGGAAGAAGGTAAGAGGAGGAGGAGGAGAGGAGGAAGGAGAGGAGGAGAGGAGGAGGAGGAGGAGGAGGAGGAGGAGGGGAGGAGGAAGAGGAGAGAGGAAGAGAGGAGAGAGAGGAGGAGGAGGAGGAGAGGAGGAGGAGAGGAGGAGAAAAAGGGAAGAGGAGGAAGTGTAAGATGAGGAAGTGTAAGATGAGGAGAGGAGGAGAGGAGGAGGAGGATGGAAGAAGAAGGAGGAAGATGAGGAAGTGTAAGAGGAGGAGGAGGAGGAGGAGAAGAAGTGAGGAGGAGGAAGAGAGGGAGGGAAGAGGAGAGGAGAGGAGGAGGAGGAGGAGGAGAGGATGAAGAAGAAGTGTAAGGAGGAGGGAAGATGAGGAAGGTGGAGAGAGGAGGAGGAGGAGGAGGAGGAGGAAGGAAGAAGAGGAAAAGGAGGAGGAAGAGGAGAGGAGGAGGAGGAGGAGGAGGAGGAGGAGGAGGAAGAAGGTAAGAGGAGGAGAGGATGAAGAAGTAAGAGGAAGGTAGAGAGAAGTAAGATGAGAAGTGTAAGAGGAGGAGGAGGAGGAGGAGGAGGAGGAGGAGGAGGAATGAAGAAGTAAGAGGAGGAATGTAAGATGAGGAAGTGTAAGAGGAGGAGGAGGAGGAGGAGGAGGGAGGAGGGAGGAGGAGGAGGAGGAGGAGAGGAGGAGGATGATGAAGAAGTGTAAGAGGAGGAGGAAGTGTAAGTGGAGGAGGAGGAGGAGGAGGAGGAAGAAGTGTAAGAGGAGGAGGAAGTGTAAGTGGAGAAGCCTTCAGCAGCACCCCATCAACTCATTAACACTTTAATTTATTACATCAAAAAAACTGTCATAAATACGGTTACTACTTGATAATTATAACAGGAAACAGTAGTGTGACCTGCAGCAGTAGTTTGACCTACAACAACAGTAGTGTGACCTACAGCAGGAGTAAAACCTACAAAAAACAGTCGTGTGACCTACAGCAGGAGTAAAACCTACAACAACAGTCGTGTGACCTACATCATTAATGTGACTTACAACAGTAGTGACCGCAGCAGTGACCTACAGCAGGAGCTCAACAACAGCTGCACAGAGGAGTAAAACCTACAACAACAGTCGTGTGACCTACATCATTAATGTGACTTACAACAGAGGGACCCAGCACTACTGTGACCTACAGCAGGAAAACCTACAACAGTGACCTACAGAGGAGTAAACCTACAACAGTCGGTGACCACAGCAGGAGTAAACTACAACAGTAGTGTGACCTACAGAGTAAACCACAACAGTCGTGACCCAGCAGGAGTAAAACCTACAACAGTACTGTGACCTACAGCAATGGTAAACCCACAACAGTCAGTGACCTACAGCAGGAATAAACAGTCGTGTGACCTACAGCAGGAGTAAACCCACAAACAGTCGGTGACCTACAGAGTAAACCTACAATAACAGTCTGTGACCAGCAGGAGAAACCTACAACAACAGTCGTGTGACCTATATCATTAATGTGACCTACAACAGTAGTGTGACCCGCAGCACTACTGTGACCTACAGCAGGAGTAAAACCTACAACAGTCGTGTGACCTACAGCAGGAGTAAACCTACAACAGTCGTGTGACCTACAGCAGAGTAAAACCTACAACAGTAGTGTGACCTACAGCAGAGTAAACCTACAACAGTCGTGTGACCTACAGCAGGAGTAAAACCTACAACAGTACTGTGACCTACAGCAGGAGTAAACCTACAACAGTCGTGTGACCTACAGCAGGAATAAATACTACAACAACAGTCGTGTGACCTACAGCAGGAGTAAAACCTACAACAACATCGTGTGACCCTACAGCAGGAGTAAAACCTACAACAACAGTCGTGTGACCTACAGCAGAGTAAAACCTACAACAACAGTCGTGTGACCTACAGCAGGAGTAAACCTACAACAGTCGTGTGACCTACAGCAGGAGTAAACCTACAACAGTCGTGTGACCTACAGCAGGAGTAAAACCTACAACAACAGTCGTGTGACCTACAGCGGAGTAAAACCTACAACAACAGTCGTGTGACCTACAGCAGGTAAAACCTCAACAACAGTCGTGTGACCTACAGCAGGGTAAACCTACAACAGTCGTGTGACCTACAGCAGGAGTAAAACCTAGAACAACAGTCGTGTGACCTACAGCAGGTAAACCCTACAACAGTCGTGTGACCTACAGCAGGAGTAAAACCTACAACAACAGTCGTGTGACCTACAGCAGGGAGTAAAACCTACAACAACAGTCGTGTGACCTACAGCAGGAAGTAAAACCTACAACAACAGTCGTGTGACCTACAGCAGGGTAAAACCTACAACAGTCCTGTGACCTACAGCAGGAGTAAAACCTACAACAGTCGTGACCTACAGCAGGAGTAAAACCTACAACAACAGTCTGGCCTACAGCAGGAGTAAAACCTACAACAGTCGTGTGACCTACAGCAGGGTAAAACCTCAACAACAGTCGTGTGACCTACAGCAGGAGTAAAACCTACAACAGTCGTGGACCTACAGCAGCAGGAGTAAAACCTACAACAACAGTCGTGTGACCTACAGCAGGTAAAACCTACAACAGTAGTGTGACCTACAGCAGCAGTAAAACCTACAACAGTCGTGTGACCTACAGCAGGAGTAAAACCTACAACAGTCGTGTGACCTACAGCAGGAGTAAACCTACAACAGTAGTGTGACCTACAGCAGAGGTAAAACCTACAACAGTGTGTGACCTACAGCAGGAGTAAAACCTACAACAGTGAGTGTGCTACAGCAGGGTAAAACCTACAACAGTCGTGTGACATACAGCAGGAGTGAAACCTACAACAGTCGTGTGACCTACAGCAGGAGTAAAACCTACAACAGTAGTGTGACCTACAGCAGGTAAACCTACAACAGTAGTGTGACCTACAGCAAGTAAAACCTACAACAGTAGTGTGACCTACAGCAGAATTAAAACCTACAACAGTCGTGTGACCTTCAGTGGAGTAACCTACAACAGTAGTGTGACCTAGCAGGAGTAAAACCTACAACAACAGTAGTGTGACCTACAACAACAGTTTTGTGACTTACAGCAGTAGTGTGACCTAACAGTAGTGTGACCTACAACAGTAGTGTGACCTACAACAACAGTTTTGAGCTTACAGCAGTAGTGTGACCTACAACAGTAGTGTGACTTACAACAACAGTAGTGTGACTTACAACAACAGTAGTGTGACCTACAACAGTAGTGTGACCTACAACAGTTTTGTGACTTACAACAGTGTGTGACCTACAACAGTAGTGTGACCTTCAACAGTAGTGTGACCTACACAACAGTAGTGTGACTACAACAGCAGTTTTGTGACTTACAACAGTATTGTGACCTACAACAGTAGTGTGACCTACAACAGTAGTGTGACCTAACAACAGTAGTGTGACTTACAACAGTATTGTGACCTACAACAGTATTGTGACCTACAACAGTAATGTGACCTACAACAGTAGTGTGACCTACAACAACAGTAGTGTGACCTACAACAGTAGTGTGACCTACAACAGTAGTGTGACACAGCAGTAGTGTGACCTACAACAACAGTTTTGTGACTTACGCAGTGTGACCTACAACAGTAGTGTGACCTACAACAGTAGTGTGACCTACAACAACAGTTTGTGACTTACAACAGTGAATGACCTACAACAGTAGTGTGACTTACAACAGTAGTGTGACCTACAACGACAGTAGTGTGCCTACAACAACAGTTTTTGGGCCTACAACAGTAGGTGACACAACAGTAGTGTGACCTACCTACAGTAATGTGACCTCACAACAGTTTGTGACCTACAACAGTAGTGTGACCTACAACAGTAGTGTGACCTACAACAACAGTAGTGTGACCAACAGTAGTGTGACCTACAACAACAGTAGTGTGATTTACAACAACAGTTTTGTGACCTACAACAGTAGTGTGACCTAAAACAGTAGTGTGACCTACAACAACAGTAGTGTGACCTGCAACAACAGTTGTGTGACTTACAACAGTAGTGTGACTTACAACAACAGTTTTGTGACACAACAAGTAGTGTGACCTACAACAGTAGTGAGACCTACAACAACAGTAGTGTGACCTACAACAATAGTGTGACTTACAATAACAGTTTTGTGACTTACAACAGTATTGTGACCTACAACAGTAGTGTGACCTACAGCAGTAGTGTGACCTACAACAACAGTAGTGTGACCTACAACAGTAGTGTGACCTACAACAACAGTAACACGACAGTAGTGTGACCTACAACAGCAGTGTGACTTAAAACAACAGTAGTGTGACATACAACAGTAGTGTGACCTCACAGTAGTGTGACCAACAACAATAGTGTGACTTACAACAGTAGTGTGACTTACAACAGTAGTGTGACCTATAACAGTAGTGTGACCTATAACAGTAGTGTGACCAACAACAATAGTGTGACTTACAACAGTAGTGTGACCTATAACAGTAGTGTGACCTACAACAGTAGTGTGACTTACAACAGTAGTGTGACTTACAACAGTAGTGTGACCTGCAACAGTAGTGTGCTCTACAACAGTAGTGTGACTTACAACAAAAGTAATGTGTTCTACAACAACAGTAGTGTGACCTACAACAGTAGTGTGACCAACAACAGTAGTGTGACTTACAACAGTAGTGTGACTTATAACAGTAGTGTGAACTACAACAGTAGTGTGACTTACGACAGTAGTGTGACCTATAACAGTAGTGTGAACTACAACAGTAGTGTGACTTACGAAAGTAGTGTGACCTACAACAGTAGTGTGACCAACAACAGTAGTGTGACTTACAACAGTAGTGTGACCTATAACAGTAGTAAAAAGACTCTACAAATAGTGACCAACAACAGGTAGTGTGTGGACTTACAAATAGTAGTGTGACCTACAACAGTAGTGTGACCAACAACAGTAGTGTGACTTACAACAGTAGTGTGACCTATAACAGTAGTGTGACCTACAACAGTAGTGTGACCAACAACAGTAGTGTGACTTACAACAGTAGTGTGACCTATAACAGTAGTGTGAACTACAACAGTAGTGTGACTTACGACAGTAGTGTGACCTACAACAGTATTGTGACCTACAACAGTAGTGCGACCTACAACAGTAGTGTGTGTGGACCTACAAATAGGTGTGTGGACTTCACAACAACAGTAGTGTGACCTACAAACAGTAGTGTGACCTACAACAACAGTAGGACCTGCCAACAACAGTAGTGTGACCTACAACAACAGTGATCTCAAGCAACAGTAGTGTGACCTAGTAGTGTGACCTACAACAACAGTAGTGTGACCTACAACAGTAGTGTGACCTAAAACAGTAGTGTGACCTACAACAACAGTAGTGACCTACAACAACAGTAGTGTGACCTACAACAGTAGTGTGACCTACAACAACAGTAGTGCGACTTACAACAACAGTAGTGTGACCTAAAACAGTAGTGTGCCCTACAACAGTAGTGTGACCTACAACAGTAGTACGACTTACAACAACAGTCGTGTAACCTACAACAACAGTACTTGGACCTACAACAACAGTAGTGTGACCTACAACAGTAGTGTGACCTACAACAGAAGTGCGACTTACAACAACAGTAGTGTGTCCTACAGCAACAGTAGTGTGACCTACAGCAACAGTAGTGTGACCTACAACAGTAGTGTGACCTACAACAGAAGTGCGACTTACAACAACAGTAGTGTGTCCTACAACAACAGTAATGTGACCTACAACAAAAGTAGTGTGACCTACAACAGAAGTGTGACTTACAACAACAGTAATGTGACCTACAGCAACAGTAGTGTGACCTACAACAGTAATGTGACCTACAACAAAAGTAGTGTGACCTACAACAGAATTGCGACTTACAACAGTAGTGTGTCCTACAACAACAGTAGTGTGACCTACAGCGATAATAGTGTGACTTACAACAACAGTAGTGTGTCCTACAACTACAATAGTGTGACTTACAACAACAGTAGTGTGACCTACACAATACTAGACGTGGTAGGAGTGTGAGGGTCATCAAGTGTCAAAGACTTAGGCTGACGAAGGTGCGTCCTCCGACAGGAAGACAAGAGTAAACTTTACAGCAGCTGCCAAGGTGGCGGCAGCGGCAGCAGGAGGAGTGAAAAACAGTAGTGTGGTGATAGAGAAGCAGCACTTACCGGAGCGTCTGTGGAGCTCCTGTTGGAGGTCGAGGGTTGAGGGGGTGAAGGTTGAGAAGGGGCGCCACTTGCGTCACTCCCTCCTGATGGCGGTGAGCGCGGCAGCCCAGACTAGCTGGTGGTGGTGCTGATCACTAGTTAGGTTACGAGAGCAAGGGTGGCGGGGCGCTGTGTGTTGCGAGCCACAGCTATGTGTGTGTGTGTGTGAGGGGTGTCGGCGGCGGCACTGAGAGCCACACTCAACCAGGGCCACCCAGCTACCACCAGCCGTAGCGCGACCCACGCCTCGCACCGCGCACGCCCACCCCATACACCCCACCGCCCGACGTACGCCCACGATCGATTCCTGGACACACAGAGGCCGCTCCACCAGCCCCAGTCACCGCCCGCTGCAGTCCAGACCCCAGTCAGTGCACCCGCCACAGCCGGAACCACAGCTCCCACCAAAGCCGGAACACAGCCCCCACCACAGCCGGAACCACAGCCCCTACCTGTCACTGCCACACCCTCATCACAGCCCCCAACAACAGGAATACAGCCCCCGCTACAGCCCTATCACAGCCGGAATCACAGCGCCTACTAGTCACTGCCACAGCCGGACCACAGCTCCCTGCTATCACTGCCACAGCCAGAACGTAAACTCCCGTTAGTCACTGTCACAGCCAGAACCTCAAATCCCATTAGTTACTGCTACAGCCCACACTAGTCACTGCCACAGCGGAAACTACAATCACATCGGTCACTGCCACACCCAGAACCTCAACCTCCATCGGTCACTGCCATATCCGGAACCTCAACTACTAACAGTCACTGCCAATGTGGAAGTAGAGCCTCGCGTCGGTCACTGCTAAAGCCGGAACTACAGCTCCTTCTCAACACTGCCAAGGCGGAACTCAAGTTCCTGTAAGTCTCTACCCACGAACATGTATTAACCATAGAATCAAAGGATTATCAGTCGCTGCCATTCACGGGACTACAGCATGCGGTAGACCCTGCCAAAGGCGAGGCAAAGGCACTCATCAACCATTGCCATAGCCTCCTCACTCCCACCGGTCACTGTGGAACGTAACACCCACCTGTCACACATAAAGCCAAAGGAAGTTGTAAAAAAGAGCGAAAGATGCGTATACCAAGTAGCCATCGCGCCCGAAGCCACAGTGTCCATCAGGGCGCAACTCAGAGCCACCGGCAGCGGCGGCGGCAGAGGGCTCATCGTCCGAGCCAGAGCGCTGCTGCCTCCAGCCATCGACAAAGACGAAGTACAAGCCTCTACTTCCGGCAGCAGCAGAGGAGTCAGAGTCCTCATAGCAGCTACCAGGAAAGCCCCAGTCCAGACAGTTCCCAGGACCGTTCCCAAAGACGTAGCCGAAGTACCAGAAGGAGGTACCGGAAAAGGAGGAGTCACAGTGCCTATGACAGCCGCCGGAGAGGAAAAAGCCCCGCCTCACCATCGAGGTATCCTAAAACTCGAAGTGAAAGCCAGAAACGAGGCCGCCCACAGAGTCAAAGTCCACGTAGGAAGCGTCGCCACTGGTTTAGCCAAAGTCCTCAAAGTCCTCGCCAGCGAAGGAGTCGAAGTCAACAGAAGAAACACCGCCGGAGAAAGAGTCAAAGCCCCCAACACAAACGTCGTCACTGGTACAGCAAAAGTCCCCAGAGTCCTCGACAAAGGCGGAGCCGAAGCTACCACCAGGCGTACCGCCGCAGAAAAAGTCAGAGCCCACAACGGAAACGTCGCCATTGGTTCAGCGAGAGCCCAAAAAGTTCTCTCAAGAGACGCAGTCGAAGTCGGACTCAACGCTACAGACGGAGTGACAGCCCTCGACGAAAACAACGTCAAAAACGAAGTCCGAGCCCCTACAGGAGGCGTCGTCACTGGTTTAGCCAAAGCCCTCCTAAGGATCGCCGTAAGAAGCGGAGCAAAAGCCCTCGTCGTCATAAAAGCCAAAGCCCCCATCGGAAGCCTCGTTACAAACGAAGTCCAAGTCCTAAAAAATATCGCCATCGAAGCCAAAGCCCTTACCGAAGCTCTTATCAAAGAAGAAGCAAGAGTCCTCGCCGGAAACACCACTGGTTCAGCCAAAGCCCGGAGACCAAACCTCGCCAACGTAGGAAGAAGAGAAGTCATCAGAGCTATCGACAAAGGCGAAGTCAAAGTACCCACCAGAGCTACCGTCAGCGGCGCAGTCAGAGTCCTCATCCAAAGTACAGACATAGGCGGAGCAGAAGCACTGAAATGAGCAGAAGCCAGAGCGACTACCACAGCCGTAGCCAGAGCGTCTACGAGACCAAGAGCCAAACCACACCAAAAAGTCCTCGGGATAAAACAAGTTACAAGCACCTACCAAGAGTCAATGGAACTGGTGACAAATTGTAAACTAAAGACAACGTTACCAAACACAGCGAGGTGGCGAAAAAGACATCGATTAGCTTCGACATCAAGTGCACTGACTTTAATACAACGAAGCTAATTAGAACTGACATCACAATAGTGTAAAATAATCAAATCATTAGAACTGTCAGCGGGTGTACACAAAAAACTTTTAAACTGACCTACCATAACTTAGAACGTTGACTTCATCCAACTAACTTATAATCTGGAGTAATGAAAAACTACAAGGCCCGTTCTTGAAGAGGAACCACAAGATATTGAGATAATTCTAGAGGTGACGCGAACAAAACCCACTCGAGGGAAACCAAAGGAAGAATAAAACCAATTCCAGACAGAGCACAAGAACACTTTGGCCAACTCCAGAAGAACAGAAACAAATCAGACCAGTTTCAGGAGGAGCAACAAGAAAACATTCAGGCCAGTTTCAGGATAAGCAACAGGGAAACATTTAGACCAACATGAGAGGAGGAAAAGCAAAGATTCTATCAGACCAATTCCAGAAGGATGACCGAGGAAAGAATCTTGTTAATTCCTTGAGAAAACACAATCACAAAGAAACACAATCACAGAGGAAAACAAAATCACTGACGAAACAAAATCACACAATCCGGCTAATTCCAGACAATAAGAACAACAGGATTAGAAAAAAACTAAATAATTGAGGGAGTTCCAGAAGGAGTGGTGGCAGCAGAGGCAAGACATCAGACCATCTCCAACAAAAGAAGACATCAGACCATCTCCAACAAAAGAAGCCATCAGACCATCTCCAACAAAAGAAGCCATCAGACCATCTCCAACAAAAGAAGCCATCAGACCATCTCCAACAAAAGAAGCCATCAGACCATCTCCAACAAAAGAAGACAACAGACCATCACCAACAAAAGAAGACATCAGACCATCTCCAACAAAAGAAGACATCAGACCATCTCCAACAAAAGAAGCCATCAGACCATCTCCAACAAAAGAAGACAACAGACCATCTCCAACAAAAGAAGACATCAGACCATCTCCAACAAAAGAAGACATCAGACCATCTCCAACAAAAGAAGACATCAGACCATCTCCAACAAAAGAAGACATCAGACCATCCCAACAAAAAAGAAGACATCAGACCATTCCAACAAAAGAAGCTTTCATCAGACCATCCCCCAACAAAAAGAAGAAGACATCAGACCATCTCCAACAAAAAAGACATCAGACCATCTCCAACAAAAGAAGACATCAGACATCTCCAACAAAGAAGCCATCAGATCGTTCCCCAACAAAGAAGCCATCAGACCATCTCCAAATAAAAGAAGACATCAGACCATCTCCAACAAAAGAAGACATCAGGACCATTCCAACAAAAGAAGACATCAGACCATCTCCAACAAAAGAAGACATCAGACCATCTCCAACAAAAGAAGACATCAGACCATCTCCAACAAAAGAAGACATCAGACCATCTCCAACAAAAGAAGACATCAGACCATCTCCAACAAAAGAAGACATCAGACCATCTCCAACAAAAGAAGACATCAGACCATCACCAACAAAAGAAGACATCAGACCATCTCCAACAAAAGAAGACATCAGACCATCTCCAACAAAAGAAGACATCAGACCATCTCCAACAAAAGAAGACATCAGACCCATCTCCAACAAAAGAAGACATCAGACCATCTTCCAACAAAAGAAGACATCAGACCATCTCCAACAAAAGAAGACATCAGACCATCTCCAACAAAAGAAGACAACAGACCATCACCAACAAAAGAAAAAAATAGAATGCACAAAAAAAGATACAAAAAAGTAAAAAATAGTAAAAAAAAAAAAAAAAATACAATGAGAGAGAGAAAGAGAGAGAGAGAGAGAGAGAGAGAGAGAGAGAGAGAGAGAGAGAGAGAGAGAGAGAGAGAGAGACCCATCACAAACTAACAGGGTCAACACAGGGCGTAGCCCCTCCCCAATTTCAGAATGACCTCCATAACAGTAACAATATGACTTCTATGACAAGTACACAACCACCTCGTAACAAATACAATATGACACCCATACCAGCACAATGTGACCCATCGTAACAACTACAATTATGACCCTGAAAAAATAATATGACCCTATAAGAAGAACTTCTCGATGAAACAAAACAAAATCTATAAAGTTAATTATATGGAGCAGACTAACTGTTGAGTACTGTTCTGGTCATTCATTAGTCACGCTAAAGATCTTCTTAAAGGATTCTTCTTGACACTTACTGATAGATAGATTGATGTGTGTGTGCGCGCGTGTGTGTGTGTGTGTGTGTGTGTGTGTGTGTGCATGTGTGCGCATTTGTGTGTGTGTGTGTGCATTTGTGTGTGTGTGCGCATTTGTGTGTGTGTGTGCATTTGTGTGTGTGTGCATTTGTGTGTGTGCGCATTTGTGTGTGTGCGCATTTGTGCGTGTGCATTTGTGCGTGTGTATGTGCATTTGTGTGTGTGTGTGTGTGTGTGTGTAATAATAATAATAATAATAATAATAATAATAATAATAAACGGTTTATTGAAAAAGTTTGCAGCCCGAAGGCTGAAAATATACATTGGACATAAATGACTTATTGCATACATTGGTGGTTTAACAAAAGCCTTCATTAGAGAAAGGTGAAGGAACATACAGTGAACATACAGATTAATGTTTACACACGTAGATCATGTGAGCTGAGGTGTTGAACATAAGAACATAAGAATGGAGGAAACTGCAGCGGGCCTATTGGCCCATACTGGGCAGTCCCGTTTACCCCCAACCCCTATTGCTCATATGAGCATCCAACATATGTTTGAAGCAATTCAGCGTATTCGAGTTAATGATGATATTTGGTAACTTGTTCCATTCATCCACTACTCTGTTTCCAAATCAGTGTTTACCTATTTCACGCCTAAATCTAAATTTGTCTAATTTAAAACCATTGTTACGAGTTCGCTCCTGGTTGGATAATTTGAGTACCTTTGTAATGTCCCCTTTGTTTAGCCCTGCCTTCCACTTATACACCTCTATCAGGTCGCCCCTCGCTCTACGTCTCTGGAGCAAGGAGTGCAAATTAAGATGCTTTAACCTGTCTCTATACTCAAGGTTCCTAATGCCGGATTAGTCTTGGTCATTCTCCCTCTGAATTCTTTCCAGGATTCTATATCCATTCTGTAACACGCAGATTCGAACTGAATCATGACAGTAATCCAGGTGTGGTCTCTACAAGAGCAAGATACAGTTTTAGGATGACTCGCTAGTCTTGTAACTAACACTCCTTTGTATGAACCCAAGTACTTTATTAGCCTTGTTACGAGCAAAACACATTGTTTACTTGGCTTAAGGTTCCTACTTATCATTACTCCTAAATCTCTCTCGCAGTCGGATTTTTCTATGGCATCGTTGTTCATCTGGTATCTGGTTTCCCTGTTTACATCTCCTATACTGAGTACTTTACATTTGTCCACGTTGAATTTCATCTGCCATTTTTCAGACCATTCGAAAATTTTTTTGATCTTCCTGTAGTTTTGCCGAGTCCTCGCCAGATTTGATAACACGCCCTATTTTAGTGTCATCAGCAAATTTATTTATGTTGTTGTCTACGCCGATATCTGTCGTTTATGTATATAATAAACAATAATGGTCCAAGTACTGAGCCTTGGGGAACTCCACTTGTGACGTTGCTCCAATGGGACTTAGTGCCGTTAATGCTCACTCGCTGTTTCCTGTCCTGTAACCACGCCCTAATCCATTTAAGGATGTCACCTTTGATGCCATGAGCTTCTTCTACCTTTCTAATTAGTCTTTCGTGGGGGACTCTGTCGAAGGCTTTACTAAAGTCGAGATATACCACATCATAATTGTGCCCCTCGTCCACCGATTCGAAAACTGATGAAAAGAATGTTAATAGATTAGTTAGGCAAGAACGTCCGCTTGTGAAGCCATGCTGGGAATCATTGATCAATCGGTGCTTCTTCAGGTGATTTCGAATAGTTTGAAATGATTGCTTCCAGTAATTTGCCTACTATTGATGTTAGACACGTAGTGTAGTAACTCTCTCACAGATGGCGTTATGAGGGGCATCACGTGGAGTACTAGTTCCCTCACAGGTGGAGTTATGAGGGGCTTGACGTGGTGTAGTAATTCCCTCACAGATGGTGTACGAGGGGCCTGATGATGTAGTAATTCCCTCACAGATGGTGTGATAAGGGGCCTGATGTGCTGTAGTAATTCCCTCACAGATGGTGTATGAGGGGCCTGATGTGGTGTAATAATTCCCTCACAGATGGTGTTATGGGGGGAACACATGGCGTAGTAATTCCCTCACAGATGGTGTTATGAGGGGGATCACGTGGTGTAGTAATTCCCTCACAGATGGTGTTATGAGGAATTTCACATGATGCTGTAGCAACTCATTGACTACGTGGTGTCGTAGCATCATGGGGACACCATGTGCTCACAAGGCCTCACTCACTGAGGTGTGGTCCCAGGCCTCCCCATCGTGGAGTCTCAGGGGAAATATCACTGGGTACCGGGACCTCACTGTGTGAAGGTGACTCTGGTAAGACTCAACTGTAACTGCCGAGTTGTTTTTCACTGACTTAACCACTGTTCACCACTGTTCAACACTGGTTCCATTCCTTTCCCAAATGAAGTAGTAACTTCTGGCGAGAACTTGTTGATATTCCGGTGGGGAGGAGGGTTCAGGGGAAGGAGTTGGTATGGGCCAACATAACAGTTGACATGGCTGCTGCTGAGCAGCGCCAGGTGCGTCTGACTCGTCTTGACCCGTCGGTGTGTGTGTGTGTCCCTTCACCAGGCTGGGTACATCAGCATTTTCAAGACGACTACAGCATCTGAAGGCGTTTCTCGGAGGAGGAGGAGGAGGGAGAAACTCGTATCCGGACAAAGCTTCCAGGTTAGGTTAGGTTAAGACGACGCTAACTTAACCCAAAATGACCTGTGACCTTCCCGGGTTATTCCTCACAGATCTAACATCGCCTGACTTGTCTCAATAAAGGACCGGGAAGAATCTGACCGCCTCTCTACCTAAACTAAGCTAACATGACCTAACCTAACTTGACCTGACCTAACGTAAATGAACTAACCATAAGCTAACTTAACCTGGTCAATAGCATTCATCCACACACACACAGAGTATTCTTTAAGATCTGAATGTTTAACCTTTCAAGAAAATCCTTAACCCACCCCCTCCTCTTCCTTCCTCCTTACACAGTCCCTCACACCTCCTCCCCCTCACTATCTCACACCGCCCCCACCTTCTCCAGGGACTTTCTCTCACACACCTAAAATGCATCACCTCTCTCTCTCTCTCTCTCTTAAAATGAAAACTTATCACGCCCCTATCAAGTTCCCGTCACCCCATCCCCTTCAAGTCCAAGTTCCAAGTCCCGTCACCCCATCCCCTTCAAGTCCAAGTTCCGTCACCCCATCCCCTTCAAGTCCAAGTTCCAAGTCCCGTCACCCCATCCCCTTCAAGTCCACATTCCATCTACTGTTCTTCGTTAAGTCCCGTCTGGGTGTGTTGTCATTCTTTATACATTCATCATTTTAAGTCCGACACTCTTGATTTCCCCTTTTACGTCCTAAGTCCCATCCCAATATTGGACTAATCCCCTTCTCCTCCCCTACCAGACCCTAAGTCCCGTACATGTGATGGACTTATCCCCTATCCACCCAACCCCGACGACCAAGTCCGATGTTGAGGGCCACGCCATGGACTTGCTTGCTATTTCCCCCGTCATCATATTGGACTTACTAAAACACGAGTACTTACCTGACCCCTCAAGACGCTACTCACACTGGACGTGCTTCGGACTTACCTGAGGGAGAGAGAGAGATAAATTATTTTAAATCCAAAGTTTACAACGATTTAATCCACATAGTAGTGTACAATACAGTCCCATAGTGTACAATACAGTCCCATAGTGTACAATACAGTTCCATAGTGTACAATACAGTCCCAGTGTACAATACAGTTCCATAGTGTACAATACAGTCCCATAGTGTACAATACAGTCCCACAGTGTACAATACAGTCCCATAGTGTACAATACAGTCCCATAGTGTACAATACAGTCCCATAGTGTACAATACAGTTCCATAGTGTACAATACAGTCCCATAGTGTACAATACAGTCCCATAGTGTACAATACTGTCCCATAGTGTACAATACAGTCCCATAGTGTACAATACAGTCCCATAGTATACAATACAGTCCCATAGTGTACAATACAGTCCCATAGTGTACACACATCCATAGTGTACACATACAGTCCCATAGTAGTATACAAGTTATGTTCCATAGTGTACAATACAGTCCCATAGTGTACAATACAGTCCCATATAGTACAACATAGTCCCATAGTGTACAATACAGTCCTATAGTGTACAATACAGTCCCATAGTGTACAAATACAGTCACATAGTGTACAATACTGTCCCATAGTGTACAATACAGTCCCATAGTGTACAACAGTCCCATAGTGTACAATACAGTCCCATAGTGTACAATACAGTCCCATAGTGTACACACAGTCCCATAGTGTACAATACAGTCCCATAGTGTACAATACAGTCCCATGGTGTGTACACACAGTCCTATAGGTACAACAGCAGTCCCATAGTGTACACATAGTCCCATAGTGTGTACACACAGTCCCATAGTGTACAATACAGTCCCATAGTACACACAGTCCTACAGTGTACAACACAGTCCCATAGTGTACAACACAGTCCACAGTGTACAATACAGTCCTATAGTGT